TGAGAACCTAGCACACACACACACACACACACACACACACACACACACACACACGCACACGCACACACACACACGCGCACACACGCTCACGCACGTGGTCGTGCACGCGCACAATCGTTGAGTTCGCCGAGCGAGATTTACGGCGACCTTTTTTGAACCCTCGACGAGTGACGAGCAAGCTGTTTAAGTTCTCCTCGTTTCTCCTCCATATTTTATTGCCTTGTTGGCTGTGCGCGTTCACGAGGCCACGCTCGCTCTCGCTCCTAGGGAGAATAAATGTTCGGAGGGGAAAAAATATATGGCTTTTGGAAGGAGTGACAAACGGAAACAAGACGTGCCTGACGAGCACAGTTCATGTGGACTTATTAAATGTGATAGATTTTGCTCTTTCTGACAATGAAAATTCAAATGTGAGCACTCAGGTCTTAAGAACAGTTTCAGAACGTTAAAAACAAAGATTTAAAAACAAAGATTTAACTCAAAGTTTATATATATATATATATATATATATATATATATATATATATAAAGATGCTCTGACATTTTGCCTCTCCTTTTCAATTAATTAATATTCTGTCCATTTTTAAAATGTAATATTTCCCCCGAATATTTTAATTCCTTTCCACAGATTAAAGGACTTTCCCATTATTTCAGCAGGCAGCAACTGTACTAATTATATCATGTGTAATATTATATAATGTTCTTACCATGGGTGTGCTGTGTATAATTTGATTATTTTGTTATCTCGGCTCGGGATTACCTCATCGCCCGGCCGTTTGTGGGGATGCCTCATTGGTTATAACATAATCTGCTTGCCACTGAGCATGCGCGCCGTGCCATACATGACAATATTGCAGTGGTGCAATAATCGAGAGCACATCTCACGTGAGAGGGCAAGCAGGCCCATCCATCTATCCATCCATCCATCCATCCATGCATGCTGCTGCAATTCAATGGTAAAGCCGCATTTTGTATTGCGTTTACAGTAGACTGTAGTGTAGTACATTCAGTAGAAGAAATAGATGCTTTGGAATTGTTAGTATTTTTTTTTTGCTTAAAAAAAATTATGTGTGTGTGTTTTTTTTTAATGTTTTGTTGTAGCAAAAGCTGTGCTTGGATGATTCAAAAGAACTCGCATATCTAAAAAAATAAAAAGCATTGCATTTAGATAGACTTGAATTACATGAATTGAACCATACTATGGCGGTGGACTGGATACCCAAGAATTGAAAAAAAAAAAAATATATATATATATATATGCAGTACAATTGCCACCATAATAAACACATTGTTAAATATTTGCCAATATCTGAATGTGTGTGAATCAAAATGGAGTCTAATTGTCTTTGTGGAGTATATTCTTGCCTCTCATTGGGTTCCCATCATAAAGAGTCGAGTGACTTCATGTGCATGATGCTGTTCATCTTTCTCTCAATGCAGACACTGCATATGCAGAACTGTAGTGCCGAACGAATGCAATGTTCCGTTAGTTGTATTGTTGGGTTGACTATATGCATGTTTTTGTTGTTGGGCTGCCTAATCCCACTCCCGGAATTGTCGTCTTGTTCGCGCTCTCCTTCAAAACTCGATGGATTTCCGACAATATCCCAGCAAAATTATGATGCCATAATGGCTCACTTGAATTTTTTTGTACAGTCATTAGCATGCCACATTTGCATCCTGTCTTATTGTCTCCACCCCAACCTCCAAGGCTAGTTGTGCTTTGGCCAAATTCACCATTTTTTTATTTAGTTATTTTTTTTAAACACTAGGGGCTGTCATTTAGGATACGTGGTTTATCACTTCATCACATTTTTTAAGATGATGAGTCGGGTGTCCTGTGCATAAACAATGGTGCTTGGACTAACTTGTCATGAGTTGACTTTTTCTCTTGGAGTACACCATGCATGCATCATGATGTGCTTTGTCACTGCTTGTTCTAAGTGGATTCGTATGCAAACAGGCTATCACACTTGTCCAGGAGTCATGCTATCATGTGCGCGCAGCTGTCGTCATACATGTTATGTGGTCTTCTTGAGTGACTTCTTTACCATGTGTACATTTGGTGAAGTGCAGGGATTCTCAAAGTGTGGCATGCGGGCTTGCACAGCAAGCGCAGGGCAGCTGTGTTGTACTTTGAAGTTCATAACAGTTGCGTTTGAGCTTTCACAACTGTTTGTTTTTTAGTATTTATTTCGAGGTGTGACAATTAATCGCATCATCAACAACTCTTGTTATTGGACGAATCAAGTCGAGACCAACTGCATATCATTCAAATTCTCGGAATTGAAAATATTGTCTCATTTCTGTTGTCCTTTTTTTTTTTTCAAAATGAGACATTTGCAATCATCTTCTCTTACTTTGAAAAACAATGCTCAACATTTTCGACATATTTCTGACAGCTGTTAGAAAACCAAACCAGCAGCTGAAACATTATGACTTTGCTTCTGCACTGTCAATTAAAAAAAAACAAAACTTTTTTCTGAGAGATGTTTGAATGCTTTTATCAGATTGATCAAAAATCATAATCTACTGATTCATTGATATTGGCAATAATCATAATCCAATTGCCTCGATTCCACATTTATGGGTTTAGTGAGCCGGATGACTGAGAATTTACACAGACATAAAGAAAAAAACAAAATTCCGAGCAGACACGTTTGCTTTTCTATTTTTGTTGCTATTGTGACTAAGTTGAAAATGACATTGCTAAGTATGCTACTAGTCTAAAAACATTCATCTTCAAACTGTGCATAGGGTACCCGAAGTATTAAATCTACTTTTTAGGAATAAAATGTGCCTGATTTTGGATGAACACTTGGGCCTACTACACTACTGTACTCAATTTTGATGACGGTCGTGTTTACTTGGGGAACTGCAGAAAGTTTTTTTTTTTTTTCTCCTGGTATTATTTGGAAGTTTAACACTCACTGATGTAGTGGAATTAGGCAGCTCTCACTTGATTTATAGAAGCATCTGTCTCCAAGTGGTGGACACAGCTACCTATAAATGTACACACACACACACACACACACACACACACACACACACACACACACACGCACACACACACACACACACACACACACACACACACACACACACACACAGAGTAATACTACATGCATGACCACTCAATAATAAAATGTCAGACACAAACGCAAGCAAGTCAAGGTCAAATTGTCTAAAATGATTTATAGTCGAAAAATGGATACAGGCTTTGGTTCATTAGAGCAGGGGGGTGGCGAACCTGCAACCTGTGGGCCATACACGGCCCATGAGAGCATTTGGCCTTGGTCGGTCATCCAAATGTAAATACAAATAAAAGCAGAGGAAGTGTTATAAAAAGCCTGGAAATGTAGTGACCACAATTGCCCATAAAATTCAATATTTTGTGAGCTAGTGTGATGGTCTTTTTTTTCATAAATTTAATATGGCCCCCATGGGAGTCTCTCTCTCTTTCTCCCAAAAAAAAAGAAAAGAAAAGAAAAAAAGAACCTCCCATGAATGAGACGGTGTTCATAGATTGCAAAAAACACCGGCGTGTGTTCTTAGTTATCCGTTTGACGCATTGTCAATGCCCCACCACTGATTTTTGCTCCCTTTGGATGTGACACCATTAATCATTGAGGTGAGGCACATATTTAAAATCACAAAAGACTCGATGTGGCCTGTCTCACAACGAATCGCCGTGGAAAGCGTGCCATTTGTTCAAATACAAACAGGTGATAAAAATCGCACGGGCTTATCTAAAAATCTGAAACGATACTCAATGTTGCTTTATGTGATGCACACGAATAAATGAAGTTGGGAACCATGTTGGGTTATATTTTTGTAATTTTAATGTACACCCGTGTGTCTATTAAAAGCACGGCACAAATTATTACGTAGTCGTGCAGTTTTGTCCATTCATCAATTATTAAACTTGCTAAGAGATGAATTAATGGAGTGAGCATGCTATGGCAGATTTGAGATACATATATGTGTTTGTCAATATATAATAACTCAATAGTCAATATAAATGTCACTGTATTTTTTTTTTTTTACTCAATTCAATGCCAAAAGGTGAACCATGTTTATTTATTTTGTGTCATTTGCGTTTCTTTGAAACCCAAAGAAAGGCAGATTGAAACCTTTGCCTTTATTGCCCTTCAATGACCTTCAACCTCGACTCATTTTCGGAAATACAGGACGGGGTCAAAGGTTGACCTGCACCGGCAGTCCATTCTTGTAACTTCTGTCATATTTTGTGGCCCCGCTTGTGATTTTGGCTTTGTCACTGTCGAGGAACCTCCGTAGATGACGTCAGCATAAAGGCTCGCGTTTATCATTTACCATAAAAATGTCAGTGCTGCCTGCAACAGGACAGAGGGATTCATGTTTTGATTTTATAGTCGTCGTAGAACAAATCAATATTTAAAAAAAAAATCTGTGCGTGTATAAATGCAATGTTTGTGCAACTGAAATAGTTGGAAAGCGAGTTTATCACATGAGCTCATTTGCATTTTTACATAACCGAGCTGCAGCAAGAAGCAAGTCGCACCTTTCATGGTTATTCATGAGTTGAATGATTGTGCAGCACAGAGCTCAAACGTGTTGCATTAAATACTTTCCGTATTTTGTTCCGTAAAAAAACAAACACGAATGTAGAAATCACTTAGCTCGCGGTTTGCACAACTTTCCACGTTTTGAAAATCTGGAATTCCAATCAGAAGTTGACGGTAATCACCCTGGACACACGGTGCCTTTTTCTTTCTTTCTTTCTTTTTCTTTTTTTTTTGAGGGGGGGCAGGGGGGGTCGTGGGTAATATTTCCAGAGGAATTAAAAACCAACTCAGACGTGGGACTGCAATTGTCTTGTGTTTTGCTGCAGTCATAATCAATCAGCGGACTTTGCAGGTGATGAACGTTTTTCTTCTTGTGCACTGCCGGTTTGTCTTGGTGGGCCAAGAAAAGCGCCCCGAGCAATATTTGGGAGTATTGCTGGCACTTTTCAAAGCATTTTCTCTGCTCGATTTGAAAAGGGTGTCGTGCAGCGAGCGCCCGCGTTGTGCAGACCGCCCCAACCCCTTTTTTTTTAAAACAGACCCCAGTGGCTGTCAATCACGGCGCATTCCAGCCAATCCCAAAGCTCCCATTTAAAAAAGCCGCTCTGCCTGCTGTGCTTTTATATTTTGCGCCGTGGCCTGTTTGCGGGGGCACTTTTACTACCACGGTTATTGGCACAAATCAAGAGGGCAAAAGAAAAGTGAGGCGGGATGGGACTCGCGGCAACTATGAGCACTCCGGTGCGTCTTTCCGCAGCGAAGTTCACGGCCAACAATTTCACATGCAGATGATCAAAGGGCAATTTGGGAGCAGACATTTTGAAACCTGCTGTCCCGCGTTGTGTGTTTGTTTGTTTGGGAGTTTTTTTTTTTCCTCCAAAAGAAAAAAAAAATCTCCCCAATTCGCCGCATGCAAACTTTGCACCCAAACATGACAAGCCTGGCTCGCTTCAGTGGCTGCCCTCTCAACCCCGGGGAGAGGAGCGGCGAACCCAGCGTGGCGCTGCCACCTTTGGCAGGGGAGCACACGGGACTCCCCACTGGCACTTCCTTAAAACTCTGCCCCTCGCACTCTTTGCGAGACTACCCCGAGACGAGATCCAGTGCATACGCTGACCACTCGCTCCCCCACTTTGCCGAGCCGGGCTACTTAGAGCACAGCGGCCCCAGGGGCTTCCTCCTCGGAGGCGGCATGCCACCGGGCACCGACCAGCTGGCATCGTCACGGGGGAACCAGCATGGCGGGATGGCGCGCTACCGCGACTTGGCCGGCTGCAGGGACGCCAGAACCGGCGCCTTTTTCGCATGCGGCTTCCAGGAGCAGGCCTCCGGCAGCGAGCCCGGCCAGATGATGCTGAGTCTACCTGGGGACCTTCTCACCCGTGGCCACCCGTACGGGGGCGCCGTGAGTCCCAAAGGGGGCGGCCAGCAACTCGTCACGCAGCTCCTGGGGCTCTACAAGCCCTTCGCGCACCGCGGCGGAGCCGGAGGCGGAGGCGACGCGCTCCTCAGGTGCGCCAAAGTCAAGAGCGAGCTGGTGTGCAAGTGGTGCTCGTCGGACGGGCCCGGCGGCAAGGCGGCGCCGTGCTCTCGAGCCTTCGGGACCATGTACGAGCTGGTCAGCCATGTGACCGTGGAGCACGTCGGTGGAGCGGAGCAGGCCGAGTACGTGTGCCAGTGGGAGAGGTGCGCCCGCGACAGGAAGCCCTTCAAAGCCAAATACAAGCTGGTCAACCACGTCAGGGTCCACACCGGGGAGAAACCCTTCCCGTGCCCCTTCCACGGCTGCGAGAAGGTCTTCGCCAGATCGGAAAACCTCAAAATCCACAAGAGGACGCACACAGGTTCGTTCGAGCACTTTGACGCAATGTGAAATTTTCAGAACAAACTTTGCATATGGCTCTCCGTAGGTTCTAAACTGCTTATTTATTCGTTTAGGAAGCTATTAAGTCATTAGATGCTGTGAGGCAAACAGCATTTCGCTGCACTTTTTATGGCCCCTCGTGCAGCATAAATGTTTATTATCGTGGACGTGCCAAATAGTGACCCCACGGCCCACACTTAGAGGCCACGATTCTTCTTTAATGATTCATTTTATCATTATGATTATTATGATGATGATTATTATTATTTCTCGCGGCCATGCAAGAACTGCTGCAAGAACGAGTCGGGCAGCGGAGCGTCACTATTGCGTATATATAGTCTGTGCAGGGCAGGGGGGCCGCTCCCACTTCATTCAAGTGAAATTATTAAATAAATCCCGGGACACCGGAGAGCTCGTGACGTGGCCGTTACGCGCGCGATGCGTGTGCCTCCCAGGAACGATCCCCACCCTCCTGTGCACATCAGAGGGGAGACATCATGACAGCGTGGGCAAGGAGGCAGCACAGAGAAGGCCTATCGCGTCGGAAGACGTGATGTAAAATGACGCATTTATACGTTGACACTTATAAGTCCCCTTTTTGGTCATCACGATGATCTATTTTAATATCATTTTACTGTCCTTATTCACAACCCTAATTCGATGTCAGTATATTGTATTGGCCTCCATATTTTTGTGTAACATTGGATTTTTGTTGTTTAAGACATCAATAAAGCCGCTGTTGCGGGGGTCATAATTCAGAAAATATACACTAGATTAAGAATATAATAGTGACCACTGTTAACTACCACCATTAATACGAGCACTTACAAGAATGACGGATGACGATTCCCTTAATTTTCATTATTTCTTTTTCAATATTTGGTTTAAAACTCCATTTGAAATCAATGAAGCTGCTACTGTGGGCGTAAAAATCACACAATGTAGTGAATAATAATAATAAGCATAATAATAATAATAATAATAATAATAATAATTAAGCAATAATAGTAATAATAACAATAACAACAAGGAGGTGAGTAAAACAAATATGCTATTACTTCCACTGTAAATTGTTTGCCTAATGAAAGCAGGAATTAACGACCTGCCCCCATGCTGTGAGTCTTATATCCGGAAAGTACATTCACTGTCTCGTTTTTAGTTTTTATTATTTCAATAAAAGTCATTCACTTGCAAGGATCTGTGAAACCGAATATGTATTTATGATTATCTGGCCCATGTGTGCAGTGCAGTGCAAGAAAAGAAGGAAGGAAAAAAACCCCACACACATTGCAATAATTCTCCCTGGCAACCGCGAGGCAAAAGCACCAATGCAACTTGACCTACATTTCCGAATGAAAGTCACTCTGTCACTTGTTGCGAGCATCCTTTGAGGATGCTTCGATGTGACGAGGCTGAAATATAATGATGATAATAATAATAATAATAATAATAATAATAATATGTTTTGTATTGTGTTTATTATTTTACTTCATGTTCACTGTTTTGTTAAGCGCTTTGTTGCAGCTGCAGCTGTTGTGAAAGCGCTCTATAAATCAGGATGTATTGTATTGTATTGTATTGTCTTGTAAATACAAGTGCGGCGAGTAAGAAAGGTGACTTGAGGATACGCCGCACGAATCCGCCAAAATATTGGCAACACCTGAGGAGCTGTCTTTTCAAAAATAACAATGCTCACGTTTGATTATCTGAGATATTCACTTACAATGAGGACGGAGATTTATTTCTGCCTTATTTAACACGAGGGAGGAAATCCAGCGGTAGGTTTCCACACCATGATAATTATCATTATATAATTACTTTTCTGGTGCCAGTCATGCTGGCATGTGCAGTGGGCCTAACCTCGCCCCCTCCCTTTCTCCCCCATGTGCACGTCCAGGTGAAAAGCCTTTCAAATGCGAATTCGACGGCTGCAACCGGAGGTTCGCCAACAGCAGTGACCGCAAGAAGCACTCGCACGTCCACTCCAGCGACAAGCCGTACACGTGCAAAGTGAGGGGCTGCGACAAGTGCTACACGCACCCGAGCTCCCTGCGCAAGCACATGAAGCTGCACTGCAGCGGTGAGGCTCGAAGCGGTGCCAACGCCGCTTCTGGTTCGGCTGGTTCCGCTGACTCGCATCCGGGCGATCCCGGCTCCGAGTCCCCGCTGCTCAGCCCCACCCAAGACGTGACCTCCTTGTCCCCGGGGAGTCCGGACGACTCGAGGTCACGTCTCTCCCTCGGCTTCGACAACAGGTCGCAGCCCTTGTTGGACGCGCTGCTGCTCCAGAGAGGCTCTTACAGCACCGGAAGCGGCGGCGGCGGCCCGAGGGCCCAGTCCGCCCAGTACCATTGCAGCCAGACCGGACACACTTTCCAGCACCAGAGCGCCCCGTGCAGGACTTTCCCATCAGCCCCGCACTTCCAGAAAGGCTTCATCAACGGGTGGTATACGTGTCACAGTGGCGTGGACTCCTAACCGTACGTCTGACGAGCAGTGGACATTTCATTAGGTACACCTGCAGAATTCAATTCCATACATTGGTAAGCTGTCTCGAGCATATATATATATATATATATATATATATATAGTTTAAAATATAAAGTTGTCAAACCTGAAGTCCATGGGCCAGCTCTGGCCCCTTCACATAATTTTATGTGGCCCACTATAGCAAATCCTGTGCCCCCCGACCTCCTCAAATCTGTCCCAAGATTGCAAATTGGCTTCACTTAATCGTGAAGCGATAGCATTTTTGTGAACTAAATCCCAACCTTTTGAAAATAATGTGGAAAAATAGTTGAAAGAGCTTCGACTATTTTCCTCTACTTCTGACTTTTAAGATTGAAGATGTTTATTTGTCATACGCATGATAAAAAAAACACAAAGTCTCCCTCCACTCATAAAAAGACTTTGATTAAAAAATAATAGAGAGCAATTTAAAGAACAAAAGATTCAGATTCAGATTCAGATTCAGAAAACTTGATGAATGCTGATCATTTTATAAACAAAAAGGACTGTATCGGAGGTCGGCAGTTGTACTAGCCTAGTTGGTACAAAAAAGACAAAAGTATGAATACAATGTGCAAAGATTCAGATATTCCACCGTTGAAGTCTTGCAAAGTTATTACACAGTGTAAATGTTCAAGTGAACAGAATGACAAAAGAAGAGTATTGCACAACTAGTTTGAAACTAGTATTCCATCAGTTTGTCATGTATTTTTAATACGATGAGGCGATTATACGTTTCCTTGGCTTTCTATCGTCATAACAGCCCTCTGAGGGAAACATAACTGCAAAGTGGACAAAAAAAAATGAGATTCAGACAAACGTAGAAAATGATAAACACATCCATTTCTTTTCATATGTGGGTTCCCTCCCCCCCCCCCCCCAAAAGCTGTGGTTAATCCATCCCAGACAAGGTTGGAAAAATGCATCATTATGATGTGTAGCCTACAGTGGTGCTATATAGAACCAACAGTGCACATCAGAATCTCCGAAGCAGCATTACGATTGTTGTTATTATTATTCTTTTATTTTACAGTGTAGCCTACCATCATGATGAATGTAATTTTTTTCCCCCCATTTCGTACTATTAAAACGCTGCTTATATTGGACCTGTCATTGTGCAGGTGTACCTAATGATGCGTCCGGTGGGTGTGTTTCATAGCTGGAGTACTCCGTGTACCTTTTTGTGCTTGTCGTGTTACATATTGAGTGATAAGTTGTGAACCGTGTTCTAATACCCCCCCCCCCACCTTTTTTTTTTGTGTTTGCTTTGACACGCCCACTCCCACAGTGGGTGATGGCATTTTTATTTTCATTTTTTTTACATCCTGCACCTGTCTATTTGTGGGCTGCTGTGCGTGTGTGTTTTTTAATCATCATGAAACCTACTTCTGCCTTTACATGTATGAATGTAAACCCTTCCAATGTGGGGATCTTTGAATGTAAATTCTCCGTCAGACACATTGTGTGTTGCTATATCTGAAATCTCTTCTCATAACAGCTCCTATTCGTCACATAGGCTTAAGCATTGTAATGGCGCGAGGCTCCGTAGTTTTCGATATCGTGCATTGCACACGCGTGTTCTCGTATGTGTTAAATGTACATTTCCGCATTTGTGTGCAACGTGAGCATCCACTTGGGTGTTATAGATGAAAAGGCGTCTTGATTAGCATTCACTTTTACTGTACTCTGCTGTACATAAGCCTGTTGTATAATTAACTATGTATTCTATATTTTATTAAAGTGTCTCTATATTCTCTTTGATCAGATGAACACTTGTGGTCAACTTCATTGATTTATTTCGTTATTTATCCCCATAGGAAGCTCACAATTTAAGGGGGCGGGGGAAAAAAAAAGCAGGATTTCTGATGAATTTATAGCGTGGGTTTCCGTTGTTGGTTTGCCACAAATGGTTTGAACCACTGGCGTGGGTGTCAAGCCTTGTGCAGTGATGTCATCACCACCACGCGGCAATTGTTTGTCGAATATTTTCAGTTGTTAAATAAACGCAGCTCCCTTTAATTATTTCTTCGTTTGTCTCGTGTCGTTGACAGATTGTGGTTCCACTTGATCATGCGGTAACTTCACCCACACACAAACACACTTGGAGCTCCTCACTTTGACTCTTATGTCTTTATAAAAACTAAAATAAGAAATATTTCAACTTCTGCTGCACTGACAAGTCGTAAAATGCTTTGTCACTTCCACAGTGCGGAAATCCAACACAAGATGAGATGACACGGTATACTGAAATACACAGTTGTATTGTCTCAGGTACTACCACATACTACTAATCATAACATAGGGTCAACTAATCCTACTATGTCCATGTTTCTATATGTCCATGTTTCTATCTATCTATCTATCTATCTATCTATCTATCTATCTATCTATCTATCTATCTATCTATCATTTTGGGGCAGCACGGTGGAAGATTGGTTAGCACGCCGGCCTCATAGTGTAGAGGTGCAGGGTTCGATTCCGGCTCTGGCCTTCCTGTGTGGAGTTTGCATGTTCTTAACATGCCTGCGTGGGTTTTCTCTGGGTACTCCGGTTTCCTCCCACTTTCTAAAAACATGCGTGGCAGGTTAATGGAACGCTCTAAATTGTCCCTAAGTGTGAGTGTGAGCGCAGATGGTTGTTTGTCTCTGTGTGCCCTACGATTGGCTGGCAACCGGTTCAGGATGTCCCCCGCCTACTGCCCGAAGACAGCTGGGAAAGGCTCCAGCACCCCCTGCGACCCTTGTGAGGATAGAGCGGATCGGAAAATGGATGGATGGATGAATATAGGGATAAC